CCCCCAATTTTCACTCGCCCCAGACCACCATAATGCCAGGGCCGACCCTGATTCTATGAAGCACATTTCATCAGACATCAAGTTCTGTGATCAAGGAACAATTCTACTAATCCCAAACAGCCTAACAAGCTTCAATTTACAAGATCAAGTGATTAATCAATAGCAGCGCGACGAAGCTTGGCAGGATTGCGCTTCGTCGACCAACGGTCATCGACGCGTTGCGAATCCCACGGAGGCTGCGCTCTCCGGCAGCGGCGGCGGCGCACGACACCACCTACTGAACGACCGCGATGGCCGGAACAGCTGCTTCCTCAGGCGGCTTGCAACGAGATGCCCGCTGCCGCCATGGCCTCTCCGGCGGCCTGGAATGAACGGATCTCTTGAGCGAGATTTTCTTGAACCGCGCGCACTGGATCCTCGTCCTCAGGGTTGGAGACGGCAGCGCCCGTACAGCGCTGCTGGAGAAGTCGCCTCGGCCTCGGGCAACGGGACTTCCCCGTCGTCTCACGAGACGACGCCGACCCCGTCTCCTCGTATCGGTGGGGTGCTTTTTGCAAAATATACATCGTAGAGACGGCTTCTGAAGACCCGTTGTAGATGCCCTAGGCTTAGAATATGCCCAGTTTAAAGATCGTTCTCACCCTCTTTATAAGATTCATGGAGTCGTTCAGCAGTTACTGCAAGGAGGAGGCATTGTTTTTTCTGCACTGCAAGAAGAATTATGGTGAGGAAGAGGAAGAGAAATTATACACCTTTTGTTTTCTCCACGGACGGAATTCTGAGGGCATGCAACGGCAATGCCTATTCGGCTGCATGGTCTATTTTAATGCAAAGCTACAGCGTCGGTTCATTGGATGGCAGTTCGAGATTTGGCAATAATGTTGCCTGTTTCTGTTACTTGGCACACGGCCAATGCATTCTTGACGTAGGAAGGTGAAGGGACTACCGACTACGCATGGATCAACGGATGTGCCTTGGAGTTAATGATGACGTGGATGCACCAAAGAAGAGAGAAATCAGAGTTAATGATGTGGGACCTCTGGATGACGTGGCTTCACGAAATCGTAGAGAAATATGTTAGTGGGATTTTGTTTTATAAGAGTATAAGATTCCTTCATGATCAGCACAAGAAGAATGAAGCATAGACTCAAAGAGCACCATGTTCTTAATTATATATGCTTCACTTGAGAGATCATCTAGTTCTTCGTCATAAACTGGTGGGATGCAATAGCACCATCGCTTGAACGTACTATACGAATCAACAATTCCATGACCACACTGATTGCAACAATCATAATAAAAAAAGTTCTCTCTTTGATGCGGACTATCAACATCATGACTAACAACTTGGAAAGGAGTAGCATAAAAAAGAGCAGGATCATGACGAGCAACAAGGTGACCACAAAAATCACGGGTGGTAGCATCATGACAACCAACCTTTTGATGAAGTCCTTCGTGATCTTCTTGTTCTTCATCATATATTGGTGGAACACAGTAACACCACTTCTTGAACATACCATATGAATCAGTAACTCCAAGACTGCATTGCTTGCAGCAATCATAACCAAAAGGGCTCTCCATCTCTTGATGAAGTGCTTCACGACCAGTAGCTTCAAGACACCCCATGTGTTCTTGAATTTGATGAAGTCCCAGGCCTTCGAGGATCACATCATGGTGATCACGCTCTTGGTTGACATTGTCGCTGCCGAGTTCGCTCGATGACGTTGACGACCAGCCATAACCTTAAGCTCTGATTATCAAATGATAAGGATCGACTCGCAGAAGGGTACATGGAGCTGAATTGGATAAAACTAGAATCACTCAGAGATCACTCAACAAGATCAACTAGCACCGGAGATTACTCTACAGGTTTTTCAAAGAAGAGCCATGCTCAATTCTCATATCATATCAATATCAACTCTATTCAAATGATGGATTACATGGTTTATTTATACTAGGAACATCCCTCCTAGTTGGGTGTGAACATAGCATAAACAAAAGCAAGTGAAAAGTCTTCTTAGTGGAGTATTTGAGGAGTCTTCATTCATTCTCGTGCAGCCACCAACAGCCTGTTCAGTCTCCACCAAAACGGTCATAACTCCTGGCTCGGAAGTCCAAAAGATGCACCGTTTGTTGTGTTGAAATCTAGAATCGTATATCTTTCCAACCATATAGCATATGACTGCTGAAACCATAAATATTAATACCAGCAAGCCACGAAAATGGTAATTCTGCATGGTTCTCATGGCCTTATCAGAGGAAGGGAGCTGCGGCCGCCCCGGCCGCGCACGGGCCCTCCCGCTGCGCCGCCACATCCATAGTGACAGAGAGAGGAGAGAGGAAGGGATTTTTTTAGCGACGGATGGAGAGATGGGTGGAGAAGAAGATATTTTTGCTGCTGTTGACCATCGGGAGAGGAACACGTGGAGCAACAGTGAATGAACGGTGAGAGGAAATCTAGACGGCAAAACTAAGATCAGATGACGCAAAATTTTTTTACTGTCGTGGCTACGCCGAGCCTCGCTGCCTTAATAAGAAGAAATTGTTTGTAATGAAGCTAGAAACACCACAACACCTATGTAAAGACTGTACCTTCACAAAGGAGACTTGGACAATAGTACAGAACAGTTGTGATATCCCCCATAGTTGGAATATAGACCAACGTGGATCACTTTATAACTACCGGCGGAGATGCTGAGCATCCTTTGAACAGCATCGAAAGAAGGTTTTTGATGGAATTATCATCTATTTCTGGTGGAATTTCGATTGAGCCGGTTTTTCTTTCGGTTGGGAGTTGTTAGTGGTTTCCTTTCTTGCTTTGGTGTTTCATTTGACCCCGACTGAATTTGCTTTTCTCTCTCTCTTTGCTGAGTTGTGCTTGTAACACCTATATTTGCTTTTTACCTGCCTAATAAAAATTACGATAAAACTCTTGCCATCCTTTAACAAAGCCATCTATAGTGTGGATGTGACAACGCCAAAAGCTCTGTGGCGCGATGCTATTTATCACACATACTCCCTCCGGCCCATTTTATCTTGTGCACACGAATATAAAGATTCAAATTTTGAAAACTTTGACCAATAATTAGGCTAATAATTTTTAACTATTATAATACAAAACTTTATATGATTAGATTTATAAGGAATTATACTATCCAATGATTATAAGTTTATAAGCATAAATAATATAATATAAAGCAAATGAATGGTCAAAGTGTAATTTAGGAGACCGTACCATTTTAAATTGCGGCCGGATAAAATGGACCGGAGGAAATAATAATAATCCTTTCTTTCATCATAAAGCAAATTCCATTTATGGGTACCAAAGTATTGCTTGCTCCTATATTATAGAAGATCAGTTGCATGCACAAATTATTGGCGAATTGAAGATTGCACCCATCTCGCCTCAACAGCCCTCCCCCAGCGTGGTCTCCCTCTCCCTCGCTGCGGGAAGCCAATGTGAGAGAGAAAGAACATTCCATTCATTGACAGTATGTAGGTACATGAGCCGAATCACGTACTGATGGTCAAGCAATCCTAACCGATGCCTACAAGCCAGGTTCGGGATCAGCTGAAGAATAGCCGCCGTTTGACACTTTTGAGCTGATCCTATGCTATCTATCTGATGCCGTGCCGGTAGAATAGGCCGCTGACAGCCAAGCGCACCAGCAATGGCCAATGGAGAGGTTAACAAGATTTGCAAAGCTGAAAAAGAGGAGCACGTACCACTCGTGGGGTTAAAACCCCGAGAACGTCGCCTGCCTCCTCGGATCGATCGACCCCAGCGGCGGCGGCGGCGGCCGAGGCGCCAGCGCCGGGTCTCGCGGTGACTGACTTGGCGTGGAGGAACTGGGAAAGCAGCTTGGTTTTCGGGAAGGCGCTGTGATTTGGCCTGAAAAGGAGGAATCTTTCCTTCCTCTTCGCCTTCCTTTGCCGGCTCTTATATCATCGCCCTCATCAGATTGGCGGCCTGTGGTTGCTGCTTCTTTGGCATTTGGCGAAGATGAGGCTCTCCTCGTCGTTCGGCAGCGTCCTTCCGGCTCTGCCGGGCTCGCCGGAAGGTAATCTCCTTCGCCTGCTCTGCTGTCTGCGCCGACTTGAGTTCTCGCTGGTGTCTTGTTCATTAATTAATAATGCTCTTTCCGTTCGTTGTTTCCTCTTCCGTATTAGTTTCAGACTGCTATTTGGTTTCTGTTTGTTCCTAATATAAATGCCTCGCTTTAAAGTTTAAACCTGCTCGGTGGCCGTGTGTGTGTGATCCTGCAGCAGCGACCCAGTGCGACGTGTTTGATTATTTGGGTGGGTTATCTGGATTTGTTTTGATTATTTCTTTTGAAGCCATGTTACTGTCACGAACTGGAACCGTTTTTTCTTTTGAAGCCTGTCTGTTGATTTCTTGATATTTCTCCTTCCCGGGAATGGATTAATATGTATTTCCACCCGAGTAGTTGGCTGTTTTTTTCAATTAAGATGTAAAAAAATAGTTCCCTTGTAGTTCCAGTTTAAGGACACCTAGAAGTTAATAGCCCTTCTTGATTCTCAATTTTATCCACTTATTAGAATTTATATTTTGTACCATCCACTTTCTGAAACTTTTTTTGTTGTTGGCATAAGCACATGTCACCAGTTGATATTTCGTTGCTGACGAAACTTGCAGTATTGAAACTTGTTCTCAAAACAAAACACATACTTCTGCCATTACAGCTGTGGAGGAGCACAAGTGCCTGAACTCAGCTGTGGCATGCCTGTGCCGGCCCACTTGTTTCCTTACCCGCGGTGGGTAGCCCGGTTGTGTACTTCCCTCAGGGCCACAGCGAGCAGGTTAGTGCACAAGCTCACCATGCCCGTGAATCCTATATATGTCCTCTTTCAGTTTGGTTGTCAAGCTCAAACCCCCAATTATCCTCTGCCAGTATTTTCAAGACTCGAAAAATTCTCCCTTTTTTACACTAGCTTTTGGTGAATTCCTGCTGCAGGTAGCAGCATCAACAAACACGGAAATGGAGTCCCAGATCCCCAATTATCTTAATTTGCCGCCACAGCTTATATGCCAACTGCATAATGTGACGATGCATGTAAGTTTGGAGCCTTGGAACACTTTCTACTTAAGCTGAGTAAGTTTAGTTTTGTGTTTCATTATCAGTGTAATTCCCTTCTTTCAGGCTGATGCAGAGACAGATGAGGTATATGTTAAGAACGACGTATAGGAATATGAAGTAAAGAATCAAACCACAGAGGAGACACACGATTTAACGTGGAAAACCCCTCCGATGTGAAGGGGAAAAACCACGGGCACCAGCCAGCAACAATCTCACTATCTCAAGAGTTTTGGGTTACACGCCTATAGCGGCTTACAAGAGAATCAAGTCACCACGAAACCCTAGCAAGGGTGTATATACATTTGTTGATGTTGATGAACTTGCAGACACTGTGATTGCTGCTGCTGCTGTGATTCTTGTTGTTGTTGCTGAGGTTGCAGCTGGGGCTTCTGCTCATTGAATGACTGGCTGCGTTGGATCTGCTGTTTGAGGAACTCAGATTGACCCCGAATCTGACTTGAAAGAAGTGGCGTGGCCCGACCAACTATGTTCTGTTGCTGCTGGAACTGCAGCATTGTGGGTAATGCCTGCTTTGTTGGATCCTGAAAAGCAGCTGTGGCCATCGCCTGATACAAGTCAGGTTGCAGACCAAGTAATGAAGCATCCAGCCTTGGCTGCATCCAAGGGTTCATACCAAATCCACCAAAATTTAACGACTGAAGACCAGGGTTTGCGGTATCTCGAAGCCACAAGAGAGAGTGAACCGGGCCTCCGCTTCGCTCCGTCAGAAGCCTGGCCTATATCCTGGAGTGAATTTGGAACAACTCCAACAGTATATGCACAGATGACATTGCAACCACTCAACCGGTAAATTATATCTTTTTCTGCCTATTTGTGTCATATAACATGCAAACTCCTCTTGGTATCTATGAAGAGTAAATTTTGGCTTGTTTTTTATGCAGCAAGAACTGAAGGACCTATATTTACCTGCAGAATTAGGTTCGGCCAATAAACAGCCAACAAACTATTTCTGCAAAACATTAACAGCAAGTGACACAAGAAACATTAGTTGTGGGTTCTCTGTTCCCTGTCGAGCAGCTAGGAAAGTGTTTCTTCCACTGGTATGTGCAACTTCTCTCAAGTTCCAAGTTCATTATTTGTGTTGATTTTGTTGCAGAAAGTGAACTTCTCTCGAGTTTCAAGTTCATTATTTATTTATGTTTCCTCCACATATTGATCTAATTTGCCAAATACTGTGTAGGATTTCACCCAGCAACCTCCATGCCAGGAGTTGATGGCAAAAGATCTTCATGGCAATGAGTGGAAATTCCGTCACATCTTTCGTGGTAAGCAGTTTTTCTTTTTTTTTCTTCCTTTTAACTCTGCTTGCTGTGCCTTCAATGATTAGGGCTATTGCATAACCTTCTAAATAACATCCTTAATGCAGGTCAGCCAAAGCGGCATCTTCTAACTACAGGCTGGAGTGTCTTTGTAAGTGCAAAGAGACTCGTTGCTGGTGACTCTGTCCTTTTTATCTGGTATGTTCGTACTTCCGGCATTCCAAACAATCACTTATCCTCTCTTTTTTTTTTGTCTCCTTCCCATCATATAGATTCTTTTTGGTTGATTTTATGTCTCATTGCCTTGTCAGGAATGACAATAACCAGCTTCTGCTGGGAATTCGTTGGGCAAATCGGCCACAAACTGTCATGCCGTCTTCTGTCTTATGCATATGCATATCGGTCTTCTTGCTGCAGCTGCTCATGCTGCTTCGACAAATAGCTGGTTTACAATTTTCTACAACCCAAGGTAGAACCTCTGTAATCACTTATTTTTTGGGCGTTTCCTGTCAAACGTTTTAACATTTGCTTTTGCAGGGCAAGCCCTTCAGAGTTTGTCATACCGCTTGCAAAGTATGTTAATTAAGGCTGTGTATCATACCCCCATATCTGTGGGGATGCGCTTCTGTTGAGACAGAAGAGTCTAGCGTTAGGAGGCAAGTTCAAATCTGTTTGCAACTTCACCTTATATGTTTTACCTCTTAGTTCATTTGTCATTACATTTTCTCTTTCCCTATCATTTTCCTACACATTGCCTTTGTCTAGTTTTGATGATTACTGCATTCGCCAACAAGATCTATGGCATAGGCCACATGTCAATATACCTCTTTCCTTACAATGAATACTGAATTATCATATATGCAGTCATAGGTGGTATTAGCAGTCTAACCAGATCAAATACATTCAATTCCAGATACATGGGGACAATTACGGGAATCGGTGATCTTGATTCTGTTCGGTGGCCAAATTCACACTGGCGTTCTGTTAAGGTATATTTTTGACCTGTGCTTCTCTTGTTGCCTCTGCCTACTACAAGCCCTTGTCAACCATTTGAGTTGCAAACTTCAGTTGAAAAACGATACTACTCCAGTACTCCCTTAAAGTTTGTTCTCTCAGAGATACCTACTTTATGGTTTTGTATGATCACGAAATTTACCTGTGAATGAATATAGGTTGTCTGGGATGACTCAACTGCTGGTGAGAGACAGCCAAGGGTGTCACAATGGGAGATTGAGCCCCTAACAACTTTCCCAATGTATCCATCTCCTTCTCCGCTCAGGCTCAAGCGTCTACGGCCAACAGGCTTGCCTTCTCTGCATGGTATGAGGTGCAGTTATGTTTAGCTAGCCTTTGTAAATATGTTAGCTTATTTTATAATTTTGCAATTTTGCAAATGCATGCATTCTATCGCCAATAACCTTTCATGTGATGTCTATCCGTAGGTGGGAAGGATGATGACCTGGTTCACTCTCTCTTGTGGCTTCGAGATACCGCAAACCCTGGTCTTCAGTCGTTAAATTTTGGTGGATTTGGTATGAACCCTTGGATGCAGCCAAGGCTGGATGCTTCATTACTTGGTCTGCAACCTGACTTGTATCAGGCGATGGCCACAGCTGCTTTTCAGGATCCAACAAAGCAGGCATTACCCACAATGCTGCAGTTCCAGCAGCAACAGAACATAGTTGGTCGGGCCACGCCACTTCTTTCAAGTCAGATTCGGGGTCAATCTGAGTTCCTCAAACAGCAGATCCAACGCAGCCAGTCATTCAATGAGCAGAAGCCCCAGCTGCAACCTCAGCAACAACAACAAGAATCACAGCAGCAGCAGCAATCACAGTGTCTGCAAGTTCATCAACATCAACAAATGCAACAACAGAACATGACCAACTACCAGTCTGTATCTAATGCATTATCAGCGTTTTCTCAGCTGTCGTCAGCCTCTCAGTCTTCACCTATGGCACTGCAAACTATATTACCATTCTCACAGGCACAGAGATTTACAGACACAAATGTAAGCTCATTGTGCTCTTCACGGTTGCCTCTGGACAGCATAACGGAGGATGCGCCATGGACTTCAAGAGGAAAAAGCTTGCGCCTCGTGTGATCAGGCGGATGAGACAACCGACCACCTGCTCGCCGAGGGTGTTAGCCTAGTGCTGAACCTCAATGTATCCGGTTACCTACTATAGCTATTTACTATTCACTGTCATGTAGTTTTCAGGTTCCATGGCAACCAAGTTGATCATGGTGCCTTGGCAACCAAGTAGGAATCATAGCATCTGCTTTATGCAGTAATATGCTAAGAAGTAGGTACACCACTTGCCTATATAAGCAGTGGCTTAAGCATTATCTTGTATCCCAAGTTTTTGCAATTCAATACAACCAAGCGGCCTATGGCCAAGATGTCCTCTGACAGCCAAATTCCTATTGTGTTCTTGTTTACCTGGGCAACAATTGCTATCTCGAGCCGGGTTAGGAGAGAGCAGAGGCCATGTCCACCTCCAGCCGCTGTCGTAGCCGCCAACGCTGGTGGAGGAGCGGTGGTCAATCCTGGCGCCGATCGGGCTCAGCGCTTGGCCGCGACAGAGGCCGCAGGTGATCGAGGCGGCCAGGCAGGCAGCGGCAACAGCCCAGGTAGTGGCCAACACGGCCGCCGCACTACGCGCGGAGTTGGGGAGGCAGCCCAGGGAGCCGTCGCAGAGCCCAGTGCGCCGCCGGATCCCGTCACCATCGCCAGAGCGCCGTCGTGGACGTGGAGGCCGTCGCGGGTCACCTGTGGCCGTCCAGACGGTGTACAAGGACTCCGGCATGGGGACACCACGGCCGATGCTCACCAAGACCAATTACCACGAGTGGAGCCTGCTCATGAAGGTGAAGATGCAGGCGCGCCAGCTCTGGGACGCCATCGAGTATGGTGACCTTCCATACCACGACGACCGACATGCGCTCGAGGCCATCATCGCCGGGGTACCACTGGAGATGGGCGCACCGCTCACGGACAAGGTGACAGCCAAGGAGGTGTGGGACTCCATCGCCGCGGCACGCATCGGCGTCGACCGCGTCCGCCGCACCACGCTGTAGCGGCTGCGCAAGGAATGGGAGAACCTCGCCTTTCGTCCCGGTGAGCAGATCAAGGATGTCACCCTCTGCCTCTCCGTGCTGAAGCAGCAGATGGCCCACCACGGCGACAAGGACCTCGACGAGGAGCAGGCCGTGGAGAAGCTTCTTCGTGCGGCACTGAAGAAGTACGCCCAGCTGAAGATCGTGATCGAGACCCTCCTCGACCTCTAGGACCTCACCATCGAGGAGGTCACTGGAAGGCTGAAGACGGTGGATGATCTCGAGGAAGAACCTCCATCCGAGCCCATCTCTGTCGGCAGGAAACTGATGTACACCGAGGAGCAATGGCTCGCTCCGCAGAAGGAGAAGAAGAAGGGAGGAGACGGCTCTGGCTCATCCAGCTCGACCAAGGACCACCGTTAGCGACCTCGCGGCGGTAGAAAGCAGAGGCCCAAAGGAGAGCGTGGTGATCATGGCGGTGGCAGGCAAGGAGAGAAGGCTGGTGGCACCGGCGGCGAACGCAAGGCGAACCGCGATGACACTTGCCTCAACTGCCGCCACGCCGGCCACTAGTCCTCAGCCCTCAGCCCCGATGCGAGTGTGGTGGCGCATCGCATCTCGCAGAGGCGGATGATGACAAGGCGGCTCTGTTTCTCGCTCATGGCTTCCTAGAGCTGGAAACAGAGGAGGACATCCTATGCTCCAAGGCCAGCCTCAACATCAACGAACCCCAGGCTCGTGCGTTCCTCAATACCGGCTCCGGCGAGCACAAGATGGATGGCTAGTACCTCGATAGCTGCGCTACCCATCACATGACCGGCCGTCACGAGCTCTTCTACGACCTTGACACCTCTGTTCATGACTCGGTGCGGTTCGGCGATGCGTCAAGGGCGGAGATTCAAGGCGTCGGCTCGATCATGTTCCAAGCCAAGACCGATGAGCACCGAGTCCTGCACAGCATCTACTTCATCCTAGCGCTGCGCAATTCCATCATGAGCCTCGGCCAGCTCGATGATGGTGGGTCCAAGGTGGAGATCGACAAGGGCTTTCTTCACATCTGGGATCACCGTGGGTGCCTCCTCATCAAGGTGAACCATGGGCCCAACCGCCTCTACGTTCTCCATCTTGAGGCCGCGAAGCCACTCTCCCTCGCCACGAGGAAGGACGACGACGAATGGCGTAGGCACGAGCAGTTCGGCCACCTGGACTTCGAGGTGCTGCACCAACTCGGCAAGCAGGCTATGGTGCATGGTATGCTGATGATCAAGCACGCCGAGCAAGTCTGGGACACCTACGTCACGATGAAGCAGCGCCGACGCCCCTTCCCTCAGTAGGCCCAATACGCGCGCAGGAGCAGTTGGAGCTCATCCACGGTGACCTTTGCGGGCATGTGATGCCGCCAACTCTAGGAGGGCGACGCTACTTCCTCCTGATGGTGGACGACGCCTCCCGATTCATGTGGGCCGTCCCTGCTACCATCCAAGGATCTTTGCTATGGACGCTGTCAAGAAGGTCCGAGCCACGGCGGAGAAGGAGAGTGGCCGTAAGCTCGGTGCTACTCACCAACAACGGTGGCGAGTTCTCCGTCGCAGAGTTCGCGACCATCGTGTGGGAGAGGGCATCGGTGCCACTTCTCGATGCCTCACTCATCGCAGCAGAGCGGCATAGTGGGCGCCGAAACTAGACTATGGTGCCCATGGCTCGGCATTTCTTTGAAGCAAAGGAGGTGCTGGCCAAGTTCTGGGGGGAGGCGGTGATGACGGCAGTCCATCTGCTCAATCACTCACCGACACGGAGCTTGCAGGGCAAGACCCCCTACGAGGCCTGGCATGGGTGCATGCCGACGGTCTTCATCGGGTACACGGAGGGAACCAAGGCGTACCGCATCCTAGACCCTGTGACGCAGCGTGTTAGGATCAGCTGCGACGTCATCTTCGACGAGAGGCGTGGCTGGGATTGGTCCACCCCGGATGTCGGTAGCTCAGCCGCAGCGGCAAGCGACTTCATCATCAAATTCTAGGAGACTGGAAGAGCCAGGGGAGCACAAGGTGCTTCTCTAGTGGCGGCCAGAGCTACATCGCCGGCGCCATCACACTCTGCACCACGCTCACCGTCACTAGATTCGGAGGAGCCCGGAGGGACATTGGTAGTAGCGGTCGCTCCTCCAGCACCCTAGCCAGCCTCGCTAATGCCACCGCCAGCATCCCTTGTTGTCCCTACTACTCCACCGGCATCACTAGTGGCGACAGCTGTGGCTGGAGACCAAGTGGAGTTTGCCACTCCACTGGTGGACGATGAAGACAGACTCGATGCCTACTACGACGACGAGCCACTGTGGTACCGTACGATGATGAACATCATCGGCCACCATCCTCCGCCTCCACCGCCTCAACACCTCTTCGCCGAGCTTCACCTCACACACGCCGGCGAGCCTGCCAACTATGCCAAGGCCAAGGATGATCCGACATGGCGGGTGGCAATGGAGCAAGAGCTCAAGGCGGTGGAGCAGAACCGGACTTGGGAGCTAGTGCCGCTCCCTGCTGGTCACTGGCCTATCACCCTGAAATGGGTGTTCAAGCTCAAGAAGGACGAGCTAGGCGCGGTGATCAAGCACAAGGCAAGACTGGTGGCGCATGGCTTCGTCCAGCTGGAGGGGGTGGACTATGATGACGCGTTCGCTCCGGTGGCACACATGGAATCCGTTAGGGTCCTCCTCACGCTGGTGGCTCAAGAGGGCTGGCGCATCCATCACATGGATGTCAAATCGGCTTTCCTCAATGGCGACCTCAAGGAGGAGGTATACGTGCAACAGCTGCCCCGCTTCACCATCATCAGAGAAGAGGGGAAAGTCTACCGCCTCTGTGAGGCCCTCTACGGTCTATGGCAGGCTCCGTGCGCTGTGAACACCAAGCTGGACGCCACGCTTAAGGACATGGGCTTCCAGCAGAGCGCTCACGAGGCGGCGATGTACCGGCGGTGCAGCGGACGCTCTGTCCTACTCATCGGCGTCTACGTCGATGACCTGATCATCATCGGCGTGGAGGATCGAGAAGTGGAGGCGTTCAAGGCACATATGAAGAAGATCTTCGACATGAGTGACCTCGACTTCCTTAGCTTCTACCTTGGCATTGAGGTGCATCAAGATGCTAATGGCATCACCCTCCGTCAGACACACTATGCCAAGTGGATCCTGGAGCTCGACGGAATGGCTGGCTACAACCCTGCCCACACTCCAATGGAGGAGTGGCTGAGGCTTGGCAGACACAACATGGCGGCGGAGGTCGACCCCACACACTACCGGCGCCTCATCGATAGAATGCGCTACCTGGTGCACACTCGTCTCGATTTGGCGTTCGCTGTCGACTTCGTTAGCCGGAGCACCAACAAGCTGTCAAGCACATTCTCCGCTATGTCACTGGCATGCTCGACTATGGTCTACACTTCACCAAGGTGTCCGGCTCCGCTCGCTTCATCGGCTACTGTGACAGCGACCTTGCCGGCGACATCGACACAAGCAAGAGCACGAGTGGAACACTCTTCTTCCTCGGCAATTGCTTGGTCAGCTGGCAATCAATCAAGCAGAAGGTGGTGGCGCTCTCCAGCTGCAAAGCAGAGTACATTGCCACCTCTACTGCTGCAACCCAGGCTCTGTGGCTCTCCAGGCTGCTAGCAGAGCTCCTCGGCAAACATGTCGAGGTGGTGGAGCTGAAGGTGGACAGCAAATCAGCGCTTGCTCTAGCCAAGAATCTAGTCTTCCATGAGAGGAGCAAGCACATAAGAATCAAGTACCACTTCATCCGCAGCTGCCTAGAAGATGGAAGCATCAAGGCCGATCACATCGCAACTACTGATCAGCTTGCAGACATTCTCACCAAATCTTTGGGCAGGGCCAAATTTGAAGAGACGAGGGGGAGAATTGGCTTGAAGCAGATGATCCCCAAGGCAGAGAAATGAGGGTGTTAGCCTAGTGCTGAACCTCAATATATCCAGTTACCTACTATATCTATTTACTATTCACTGTCATGTAGTTTTTAGGTTCTTTGG